TTGGTCGAATGTAAGCTACCAATAATGTGCTGTGTTCATTGATCTGGATCTCCGTGCAATCACAAGCAAAAAATAATCATGTGTCGCCAAAACCTAAGTGCGATATGCTATTTCCATGGAAGAAATTTCCAGGGACCACTACCGATGCCATATTATTTCCATGGAATCCATTTCCATCGAACAATGCTTTCCCGTGGAATCACTGTTCCAGGGAAAATTTTACATGGATGTAACCAAATTACTCAAGGGATTTGAACTCCATGGAATAATTTCCGGCGGAATTTTCAGCTGGGGCCGCCTGCCGCCGCCCCGACACGTAATCCACCCTTTGCATTGTGCGATGCCCCGCGCCCGCCCCACCAGTCTTGTTTGGTTTACCTCCCCCCTGACAAATGATGTCTCTCACACCGAGGCGCGTAAACCCCGTACTACTGTCGCACTCGCATCGCAGAACGCTCGCTCTCCCAAAACCATTGTCCCGCATCGTCTTCTGCGGATGCTGTCTCAGCCGCTTCTCTCTGTCTTCCTATGGCGCCGTCTGCTGCTGCTCCATCGGCCGTGTCGCCAGCCAAACGTTCGCCCTCCACAATCAGCGAAAACACTGAGCCCACAGTTTAGGTATGAGAGTCGTATGCAATACCCATACCCTCACAAACACGACTGTCAGCCGATCTGAAAGTTTTCATAGTTTTTAGACAATTCTGGAAAGAGGGCAAGATGTATTTTTGCAGTCCTGACACTTCATATTTCGGGCCTCTGGCTGTGTTGCCAACGACGACAAGGACACGCGGCCAGCTAATGAAGGATGGGGCCAGAGCCTCCCCTCCGCTCCGCTCCGCGGGTCCAGCGGAGCGGCAGAAGCGGCGGCGGCGCCGACGGAAAACGACCCCAAATCGCGCGCCGATTAGTATTTTATTTTATCGTCTGCTAATTTCACTGCCTCCGCGCGGCGCCCGCTCCAGGGAGGAGGGGGAGAGAAAATAATATATAGATGACGATGGGGACGACGACGACGATGGCAGGAACGAGGAGCTTCCTTCCGCTGCAGGGGGTTGGTGACCCGCGGCGGCGGGCTGGGGGTGGGGGACGCGGGGGCGGGGGTCGTAGGCGGGTCCCCGGGTCCCCTACAACAACAACTTGCAGCGCCGGGTCACCAGAGCTCTCCCCCGGCCCGCCCGCCGTGTTTGGCTCCGCGTCTGCCGTCGAGAGTTCCCGTTGTGTATCATCCGGACGCGGATTAAAACTACGGGGCCTCCGCGCTGCTCCGGCCGGGGCCGAGCCGGGCCGGGGGGGTTGACTACACCAGTCGCGCGAGGCACCAGGATTAAAAACTTTCCCCCGGCTGCTTTGCTGCTCGGTTCTGGCGCTGCTGCTGGCGCTTGGTACAGAGAAGGGCGCAAGATGAGCCAGCAGCGAGCAGCAAAAGCAGCCGTTTCCTGTTCTGCTGCAGCGAAGGCTGGCTGGGGCGGGGCGATGGGCTCCGCCGCTGTCGCTAGATATTCTTGATTGATAAGGGCGGCGCGTGGCCACCCCACCCCGCC